TTAATACAACTAATATCAAAAAGTATACATCCACCACTAAAGCTAGTGATGAAGAAAGAAGAACTCTACCAAATTCTTCATTTTAAGATGGCTCAAACATGCAATCAAGATGCATTGATTATTATTGGTGATCAGCATGCGCAAGTTTCCAAAGAAGAAGGGTCAACCTTTGGAAAATAGGGCCTTAGTGATAGAAATGAAGCTGGAAATCGCATGATAGAATTTTGCAAGATCAACAACTTCTTTAATGAAAATACCATTTTTTCAACAACATAACTGGTGACTACACAAATAGACATGGCCAACGAGGACACACAGAAATCAAATTGACTACGTCTATGGGAAAAGATGACGAACAATGTCAATATCAATATCGGCATTCAAAACTACGTGGGGGCCTACTGTGGAATAGACCATCAAGTGCTCATATGCAAACTTACGTTGAAACGACAAGAAAATTGTAAAGTCCTAGAGAGCAAAAATATGACCTTGAATCTATTTCAACTAAATGTAGAGACCATCTCAAGAAATATTTTGATTCATTGAACACTAATGATCAAAGGTCTGATGAGTCGTGGGATGACATCAGCAATATCATATGGGAAGGAAGCATAATTTCATTAAAATACAGGAAATAAGAAAAGATCAACATGTATGCCAAAAGATACTCTGAAATTTGCTCTGAGTGGGGAATAGCAAGTAGCAAAAGGAAATGGAAGACATGATGAAATAAACGATTTGAAACAAAAATGTCAAAATGCAGCTTGAGAACCCAAAGTAAAGTAATATCATGAAACGTGCAAAGACATGGAAAGCCAAAAAAAAAAAAAATGAAGGAAAAAGTACATATATATCAAGCTGAAGGAAGTGAAAAAAAATGTAAGCCTCAACCTGAAACATTGAAGGATTCCGTGCCCAAAATATTGAAGGACATAGGAAGCATCAAAAGAAGATGGAAGGAATATGAAGAGTCATCGTACCCAAAAGAATGGGCCTACATGCAACTAGTTTGAAGAGGTAGCATATGATCAAAAACTGATAGCGTCCAGAGAAGTGAGGATGGTGTAGGACCAGGCAGCGTTTTATTCTGTTGTTCACCGGCTCACTATGAAGTGGGACCAGCTTGACCACACCAGACCAAATAACAGTGGCATCTATATAATAGAATGTGATTCAGCCAGAAGTAGGAATCAAGTACTGATATGAGGTCATACTTGGATGAACCTTGAAAAAATTATGCTAAATGATTGAAGCCAGATACATAAGACCACACATTATGTTTCCATTTATCTGAGTCAAGCAGTCATCTAGGGGGAGAGTTGGGATCAGGCACACGTTACTTTATGTTGTGCCTCAATTTCTTCATCTGTAAAATCAAGATAATAATACTCCCATTTCAAAGGATTTTGTGTGGATTAAATGACTAGAACAGTGCCTGGTGCTAAGTGAAATGCTTTTGAGTTTATACTGCAAGTGCAAAAAGCCCTCGCATGCTAGTCAGGAGGAATGGAATGTTACGTGAAGCTGGAAGGCAAGAGAGGGCTGGTGCAGACTGAGCAAAAGGCGGCTACAGGAGACATGGCCAGCACTGTGGCTTCCTCAGAGTGAGATGGGAAACCTTGGGAGTATTTTGAGCAGAGAAAAGTCTATCTGATTTCTGTTTTCATGTCATTGTTGTCTCTTCTGTTGAAAATAGACTAAAAAGGGTTAGGGATGGAATCGGGGAAACTTGTTTTAAACCATTGGAGCAACTCAGGTGAGAGATGGTGGTGCTCAGATTCTGGATCTATTCTGTAGGTAGATTCCACCAGCTCTATCGAGAGATTGGATATTGGGTATGAAAGAAAGAGACTGTGATCTGACTTGAGCAATTTTCAGAATGTAGCTTCCATTAATCGAGATGAGTATAGTAGGCTCTTTTGGGGGGTGGGGGAGGAACTTCAATTTTGGACACTATAAACATGAAATGCCTACTACACCTCCAAGTAGAGATGTCAAATACCAAATCCAAACTCTCTGCCATCGAGTCAATGCTGACCCATACCGACCCCTGTGGGTTTCTGAGGCTGTATCTATCACAGTCTGTAGCAAGCCCAGTCTTCCATCCACAGAGCTGCTGGTGGTTTCGAACTGCCGACCATGCAGCCCAACGTGTAATCACTAGGGAGTAGGATATCTATTGGCGAGCCTGGTATGTAAGGGAGAGGGTTGGACTGAAATTATGGATCTTGCGCTTTTCCACAACTATTATGGTACGGGGTCTAAAGGGAGATAACTGAAAATACCAACAAGCTCAACATCTAATGGTGAGGAAGGTCCTAGGGCTAGTCAGCGAAATAAGGGGATAATGTATGTAAAATCTTTAGTTCTTGAGTTGGGGCACAGTAAAGTCTCAGTATATAATTGCTATTGTTATTTTCAACATCACAGGCGCCAGAATCTAGGCCACGCGATGCATCTGCAGGCTCCCTCGCAGCGGGGGCCTCAGGTTTCCAGTGCAGCGGAATTGCACCATTGCGCAGGCGCGGCCGCAGCCTGGCGTCCTAGGAGACGGACGGGGAAAGCTGTTGCGCAGGCGTGTTCTCCAGGCCGAGGGAGCCGGAGGCCAGGGAACGGGGCGGGGCGAGCTCGGGTGCGCCTGCGCAACGTGTGCTCTTGGCCCGGGAGCCGCAGTCCCTATCCAGGCAGGGAGGTGGCTCGGCGGTCTCTGCCTGCCCTCTCCCGCTAATCCCAGGTGGTTGGGCTGCACGGAGGGCGGGGACGTCCGCCGAGCACGCGAGCGAACCAAGATGCCGGTGAGGAGAGGCTTTCAGCCGCCGGAGCTCCTCATCCCGGCGGCCTGGCCCGGGGGCGCGGCCGTTGCCATGGAGGCGCGGAGCCGGCGGGCGGGGGGGGCTGGGCCGAGCCTGCGGGCCCGCGGGCCCGCGGGTCGGGGACCTTGGCTCGTCCGTGTGGGTGCTGCTGGGGTCAAGCTGGCCCTGGAAGGGCCCGCGGCCGGCCCAGCGCCTTTGTCATTGCCGAGGCCGCGGGGCCTCCGCCGCTTAGCGTAAAGGCGCTGTGCCGGAGGGTGAGCTCTCGCGCCCAGCCTGCCCGCTGGGAAGGGCGTTGGGGGGTGGGTGGGGCGGTCGAGGGTCTCTTGGGATGCATCCCGTGTGACCTTTGCACCCCTGTACCAAACTCCTGAAGGCGGCACTGCACAGCTGTCGGCTCCGACTTCATTTAGGTTGAGCTGTCATCCCTGTGGTGGCGTTTCAGCTTACAGTGCAGAATGTAACCCGTAGGTGCCTTTGTGTGTGGGGGTGGGGTGGTGATGGCATGTTTATCTTGTAGAACTCCACAAATTCAGTTATCCTGAAGGTAACAAGGGGTCTTTATAAATCCAAAACTTGAGCATTGGTTGGTCCTTTACTGGACCCATACTTAAACTCTTACTTGAAGGTTGTTATGATGATGAATTAAAATATTGCACATAATAAGGCTTGAAGGACCGCGCTTGGCATTTAGCATTAAAGGCTCCATATTTGTGCCTTGTTAATGACTTCCAAGTGATTTAGTGATTCATTCAATATGTGATTGGGCCCCGACTATGTGCTAGGGATTGAAGGCTTTAGAGTGAGCAGAGCCAACCAGATGCTTGAACTTGGACAGAAGGAAGGCTTCCTTGGGCAGAGGTAAAAGCCAGTAATGTTTGCAGACCATCAAAGGATGAAGGAAGTGGGTAACATCTGATGGGTAGAAATCGATTCTGGAAATTGGAAAGTGCTGCTATGAAGGCATGCTGGCATACAGATGTCAGGCAGCCGGTTTTTCAAGCGAAACCCAAAGTGTTGGTTTGGGGGCAGATGTTCCACTTTTCAAATCTTAGCAACTAACCGGATCCTCTTAAATGCTAGAAGGCGACCGAAAGACATTTGTGCATTCAGGTTAGCCCCTTGATTAAGCGTGTGCCTCCTGTGATCTGCTGGGAGAGAGGAAGGCACCCATCAATTGAGTATGGAGCAAATAGTGAAATTATAAGTGGCAAAGTGTTGATGAAAGGAGAGAGACAGGGTGCTGTAAGAGTCGGTAACAAGAAAATCGGGCAGGGCCGTCTGAGATGAAGTAGCCTTTGAACTGAAACTTGAAGGTTAAGTAGATGTGAGGTAAGTGCAGGAGGGGAGTTAGGAATACTCCTGTTAGGCAGAAGGACCAGTCCCCAGAGAGACCTGTGGTAAGGAGCATGGTGAAGAGAAGGCCAATCCAAGCAGGGTGTCTGTGAATAAGGCTGGAGCAGTAGGCATGGGATGGAACCTGATTTTACAACTCAACAGGTTGCCATTTTTATCTTTTAAGATCTGTGGGAAACTGGTTTTAAGAAGGGGAGGGGCATGGTTAGGTCCCTATTGATTCTGCCTGCCAGGCAAGAACTTACAATGGTGGAACCTAACTAAAGAAGCCACAAGCTGCATCAGGAAAGATGGGTGGTGCCAGTCTGTCAGCCAAACAAGATGTAGACACTTGGACATCCTGTGGGGGCAGTTCTACACTCTTAAAAGGTTGCTGTGAGTTAGAATTGACTTGACAGTTGGGTTTTGGTTTAATTACATGTGGAAGTCCAGTTACTGCAATGATCCAGGCTTGTGATGACAGTCACCTAGACTAGGATGGTGAAGGTAGGTAGAGAGGAGTGTATTGCACTGATACACTCTGTTACCTGCCAATGACCGTGACTGCTGTTTGTTTCTCTAATACTTAAAAGGATATCTGGGAGGAGTGTAACAATAAAGCGCTGAGCTTTTACACTGCAGTAATAGATTTCTGTTTTGATAGAGATTTTTCTTATATTAGATTTCAAAGCAGAAACTCTTCATGTACAAATGTTCATAAATTAGCATGATACCGACACGTTTTCTGCCTTCACTTTATTATCTATCGCCTTCCCTAGAGAAGCAAAACCATTTATGGATATTAATAGGATAAAAATAATTTTGCTCCTGAATCACAGAAAATAAAACTACAAGTCTCAAGGAGTACAGCATCCCCTGTTTCCTTGAATTAAAGCTTTTAACTGTTTCCCCTGTTTTCTGACAGGCGGGAAACTCAGAGATGATACTGAACTTGTGTGCAGAAAGACAAGCTGTAATAGACGGTTCCTTTTTAAAAGCCTTGAACAGAATTGGCTACATATGTAAATTAGATTGTTTTCCTCCTTTTGTATTGTAAAATAAGTCATTTTTCTTATCTTTTAAGAAGCTTTTGCTCCATGTCAATCAGATCTAGAAGATGATTCCATTTAACAAACACTGATTGAATGCTTAATGTGGGTAAGGCCTAGAGGTGGCACAATAGCCCTTCTGAAATGATCAGTTCAATCTGTTGAGGGTCAAAGAAGTATTCTTTTTGTGCCTTTTGTATTTCTTTCCCAGATCAACAAATCAGAGAAGCCAGAGAGCTGCGACAACGTGAAGGTGGTTGTTAGGTGCCGGCCCCTCAATGAGAGAGAGAAGTCGATGTGCTACAGGCAGGCTGTCAGTGTGGATGAGATGAGGGGCACGATCACTGTCCATAAGACCGATTCCTTCAATGAGCCGCCAAAGACATTTACGTTTGATACGGTTTTTGGTTCAGAGAGTAAACAGCTTGATGTTTATAATTTAACGGCAAGGCCAATTATTGATTCCGTTCTTGAAGGCTACAATGGTAAGTGACTACATATAGTTTACTTTTTATAACCAGCTTTAATTACATATAACTCGTACCTCATACAGTCACCCCCTGAAGTGTACAGTTCAGAGCGTTGTAACCAATGTATGCAATTGTGGAACTGTCACCGCAGCCCAGTTTTAGAATACTATAGTTACCCCCTAAAAGTTCCACAGCCATCTGTTAGCGTTTTGCCTTCTCTTGAAATGTGTTATTAGTAAAATCATACAGTACGTCGTATTTTGTATTATCTATCTGTCTTTCACCTACCATAATGCTTGTGAGACTCATCCGTGTTGTATATTGGTAGTTTCTTTTTTATTGCTAAGTTCCATTCCATTGTATGGATATGCCATACTATTTCAGCAGTTGATAGAAATTTGGATTTTAAAAGCGTTTTTGGCTATTATGAGTAAGACCACTATGAATATTCCTTAATAAATCTTCTTTTTTCTTTTTTTCTTTATAAATCTTTCTGTGGGCATATTTAAATTTTTTTCTTGATTAGTATTTAGGGGTGGGACTGGGTGTACGTTAAGCAGTTTCAAACCACCAGCCACTCCCAGGGAGAAAGAGGAGGCATTCTACTCAGTAAAGTTCGTCTTGGAAACCCCCAGGGGCAGTTCTCTCTTGTCCTGCAGGGTCACTATGAGTCGGAGTTGACTCGGAATGGCTGTGAGTTAGAGTGTGGTTGTTTTTTTAATGCCTTTGGGGACATAACTGAATTTTACCAATCCCAAGGTGATGAAGTTTCTTGCTATGCTTTCTTTTAGGCGTTACATAGTTTTAGGTTGAACATTAGGTCAAAATGATGCTTTTTTTTTAGTTAGTAATTTTTAGTATCGTGCAAGGTGTGAGTGTCTAAGTTATTGTTTTCTTTGCCTGTGTATCTCTGGTTGTTCCAGCATCATTTATTGAGATTAGTTTTTCACCATTGAGTTACATTGGCATTTTAGTAGCAAACTAAAGGGCCACACAAATGTGTTTGTTTATTTCTGGACTATCTAATGTGTTACATATCTATCCTATTTTGAATACTGTAGTTTTCTAATATGTTTGGAAATTAGGAGTTTAACTAGCTAACTTTGTTAAACTTTTTGAAGATTCTTATGTCTGTTTTAGGCCCTTAACATTTCCATATAACTTTTAGGGTTATTTTGTCAATTTTTATTTTAAAAACTTGCCTGGCTTTTGATAGTGGTTGTTTTGAAACTATAGATTGATTTGGAGCGAATTGATATTTTGACAGTATTGAGTCTGCCAATGAATTAACACAATATAGCTCTTCATTTATTTGTCTTCTTTATTTTCTCTCATAAATATTATGTAATTTTTAGTGTGTAGTTCTTGCACATCTTTTGATGGATTTATTCTTAAATATTTTTAAAATGCTGTTGTGAATAGGAATTGTTTTCACAATTTCATTTTTAGGTGATATATAACTAGTATATAGATTGGCAATTGATTATTTTATGCATATATTTTTAAAAATCAGGTAAAACTCACATAACATAAAATTGTAACCACTTGAAGTGTACAATTGAGTTAATTTTAGTATATTTAGTAAACATTAGATTTATTATCATCAATATTTAATTCCAAAATTTTCCCATCAGCCTCTAAAGAAACCCCATGCCTATTAGCACTTACCCTTCATTCTTCTTCCTTCCCAAGCTCAGGCAGTTCGTAGATCTACCTTTTTGTCTGTGGATTTGCCTGTTCTAGACATTACATATAAATACAATTATATGTGGCTTTCATTTAGCATAGTGTTTTTAAGGTTCATCCCTGTTGGAGTGTGTATCAGTATTTCATTCCTTTTTTATGGTTGAATATACCACTTTGTATTGATCCATTCATCAGTGGATGGCTGTTTGGGCATTTATACTTTTTGACTTATGAATAAGAAATGAATAAATTATGCCTGATGCTTATATGAGCATGTATGTGTTCATATTTCTGTAAGAGCCTAAGTTTTCAGTTCTCTTGGGCAGGAGGGGAGTTGCTTGATCATTTAGTAACTCTGTGTCTCACCTTTTGAGAAACGGCCGAAGTTTTCCCAGCAGCTGGGCCATTCTACATCCCAGTACCATGGGACCGTTCCTACCTGTCCACATCCTTCGCTGTCGTCGTGGGTGTCATTGTGCTTCAACCAATTTGTGCTTATCCATGTTATAATTTGCTAGCTTGCTTATTCTAACAGAGTTTTTTGTAAATCCCTTAATGATTTTCTACATACATGTCATGTCACCTGCAAATAAATAGAATTGTTATTTGCTTCTCCAGTGTTTTTATTATTGGGCCCCAGTGAGTGGGTACCATCCTCACAGTTGTTGTGGTTGATCCCATTGTTGCAGTTTCTTTGTCGAGTCATCTCAGAGTGTCTTTGCCCTTTCACCAAGCATGATGCCTTTTTCCAGAGACTCGCCCCTCCTGATAACATGTCCCAAGTATGGGAGACAAGGTCTCACCATCCTTGCTGCTGCCCCGCAAGCAGAGTCTATTTGGAAAGAACGAAAAGCACCTGACTCCGTATGTGGGGCGTCTATTGAGTTGCCCAACTCTTGCTTCTAAGAAATATTCTGGCTGTCTTTCTTGAAGATAGATTTGTTTGTTCTTTTGGCAGCCCTTGGCACTTTAAATATTCTTTATCAGCACCGTAATTCAAAGGATCAATTCTTCTCTGGTCTTTCTTATTCGTTGTCCAGTTTTCACATGCATATGAGGTCAGATGCCCCTTAGTCCTCAAAGTAACATCTTTGCTCTTTTTCTATTTTAAAGGTCTTGTGCATCAGTTTTTCCCAATGCAATATGGCACTTAATTTCTTGATTGCAAGTTTCCATGAGCATTAATTGTGGATAAAAGTAAAATTAAATAATTGGCAATTTTAATCCTTTCTGTGTTTATCCTGGTGTTGTCTATTGGTCTTGTTATGGGAGTTTTTGTGTACGTGTGTTGTTGTTTTACACTGAGTTATAATTCACATGTAAGGCTGTAGTTTTAGATCTTCATTAATAAGTGCTTCAAGTCTGGGTGACTTTCAGTCAACACGGTGGTGTCATGTGCGTATCCCAGGTTGTTGATAACGCCTTCCTCCAATCCTGATGCCACTCTTCTCCATGTAGTCCAGCCCCTTGGATTATTTTCTCAGCTTAGATTGAATACATATGTTGACACATACCTTTCCTGAGTTTTGAAAAAAATCATTTTATTGGGGGCTCGTGCAACTCTTATCACAATCCATACATCCATCCATTGTCTCAAGCACATTTGTACATATGTTGCCATCATC